TCTTTGCCACTTTGTAACAAGGATTGCCTTTTTTCCATTGTCCAATAACATGTTCCTGATTTCCATCTGAGACCTCACTAAAATGGCCTTTACCAACCTCATTTCTACCAGCATTCTGCTCATTATTATTTGCGTATTCTCTAAGAAGACTGAGGCTTTTCCCTCAGCTCTCCTCTTTTCTTTCTGAGCTCTCACCAGAATCACCTTTGGCGAACACTTCATGGCAATCTCAGCTTGTTCTGTCATCAGCCTCAAAACTCTCCCAGCCTCTACCCATTTCATAGCCACTTCCACATTTTTAGGTATTTATTACAGCAGCACCCCGTTTCTCAGTTCTAATTTCTGTGTTTGTCTGCCTGGACTGCTATTTTGTTATTAAGTTCATAGATGTTTAGGATTGCTGTGTCCTCTTGATGAATTGATCCCTTTATCATTATAAAATTACTTTCTTTATCACTGGCAATATTCTCTGCCCATAAATCTACTTTGTCTGATACTAATATAGCCAGTGCAACTTTCTTTTGATTAGTGTTAGCCTGGGATAGATTTTCTGTCCTTTTATTTTTAACCTGCTTGTATTTTTATATTTGAAAAGCATTTCTTGTTGGTAGCATATAGTTAGGTATTACTTTTATATCCAGTCTCAAAATCTCTGCTTTTAATTAGGATTTTAGATCATTTACACTTAAAATAATTATAGGTATATCGACGTAGGTTTAAATCTATAATCTTGCTACTTTTTTATTGTCCTCTTTGTTTCCTGTTTACTCCTTTTTAGACTTCTTTGGATCAACTGAATATTTTTTATAATTCTATTTTATTTTCTGTTGTCTCATTAGTTTTATTTTACTCTTATTTTGTAACTTTAGTGGTTTCTTTGGGATTAATGCATATCCCTTTTCATTCTACATTCAAGTGATATTATGTACTTCACATACAGTTTGAGAGCCTTACAATACCATGCTTCCATTATTTTTCCCTTCCTAACATTTGTGCGATTGCTTTCATACATTTTACTTTTATATATTTTATGAACCCCACACTATACATTTTTATTATCTTTTATTTATCAATTATCTTTTAATGAGATGTAAATAATAAAAGATCATATGTATTTATTTACGTTGTTACCATTTCTGGTATCTTACATTCCTTTGTGTAAGCTTATATTTCTATCTGGTATCATTTTTCTCCTGCCTGAAGAACTTTCTTTAACATTTCTTGTAGTGTGGCTCTGCTGATGATTAATTCTTTCAGCTTTTTCTATATTTGAAAAAGTCTTTTAATCTCTTTCATTTTAAAATGTTTGTTGAATATAGAATTCTAGGTTGACTTTTTTCTTTCAAAACTTTAAAACTGTTGTTCCACTGTCTTCTTACTTGGTGTCTTAGTCAGCTTGGGCTGTTATAACAAAAATGCGATAGATTGGGTGCTTTTAAGCAACAGAGGCTTATTTCTCACAGTTCTGTAGGCTAGAAATCTGAGATTATGGTGCCATCATGGTAGGTAAGAGCCCTCTTCCTGGTTTCAGATTTCTCATTGTATCCTTACATGGTAGAAGGGGGCAAGGGAGGTCTCTTGGGCCTCTTTTATAAGGGCACTGATCCCACGGGTGCCCTTCACCTCCCAAAAGCCACACCTTGGGAATGTGGTTTCAATATATGAATTTAGGGGGGACATTCAGACTATAGCACTTGGATTGTTTTTGACAAGAAGTCTGTGACATCTGTATTTTTGTGCCTGCATATATAATATGTCTTTTCTCTGGCTACTTTTAAGATTTTCTCCCTATCACTGGTTTTGAGCAGTTTGATTATGATGTGCTTTTGTGTGGTTTCCTTCCTATTTTTGTGGCTGGGTTTTATTGAGATTTTTGGTTTTCTGGGTTTATAGTTTTCATCAAATTTGGAAAAATTTCAGCCATTATTTCTTCAAATGTTTTTTCTATCCTGCCTCTTTTAGTAATTCCAATTACATGTGTGTTAAACTGCTTGATGTTGTCCCATAGCTCACGAATGCTGTGTTAAATTTTGTATTCTCTTTTATCTCTGTGTTCCACCTATTAATATATCTTCAAGTTCACTAACCTTTTTTTTTCCTGCAAGATCTCATCTGCTAGTAATCTAATCCAGTGTATTTTTCATCTCACATATTGTAATTTCATCTCAAGTTTGACTTGGGTCTTTTTATATCATTCATGTATCTATTTAGATTTTTTAATATCTGTAGTTATAATACAATTATAATAACAGTTTTAATGCCCTTGTCTGCTAAATCTAATATCTGTGTCAATTTTTTTTTTTTTTTTTTTTTTTTTTTTTTTTGTGGTACGCGGGCCTCTCACTGCTGTGGCCTCTCCCATTGCGGAGCACAGGCTCCGGATGCACAGGCTCAGTGGCCATGGCTCACGGGCCCAGCTGCTCCGCAGCATGTGGGATCTTCCTGGACTGGGGCATGAACCCGTGTCCCCCGCATCGGCAGGCAGACTCTCAACCACTGCGCCACCAGGGAAGCCCTATGGGTCAATTTTGATTGATTAAATTTTATTTTCTTTATGAGTCCTTTTTTCTTATTTGTTTCTTTGCATTTCTGGAGGTTTTTTTTTTTTTTTTTTTTGCCTCTGAGTCCTTGCGGGATTTTTATTATTATTATTATTATTCAAACAGAAAGTCACAAAAATTATAATCATCCTTGGAATTTTTTATAGCAGCTTTTAAAAAATTTATTTTATTGAAGTATAATTGATTTAAAGTCTTGTGTTTGCTGGGTCATATGGTAGTACAGAGTGAAGTAAGTCAGAAAGAGAAAAACAAATACCATATGCTAACACATATATGGAATATAAAAAAAAAAGGTTCTGAAGAACCTAGGGGCAGGGAGGAATAAAGACGCAGACATAGAGAATGGACTTGAGGACACGGGGAGCGGGGGAAGAGGGGGAAGGGTAAGCTGGGATGAAGTGAGAGAGTGGCATGGACATATATACACTACCAAATGTAAAAGAGATAGCTAGTGGGAAGCAGCCACACAGCACAGGGAGATCAGCTCGGTGCTTTGTGTCCACCTAGAGGGGTGGGACAGGGAGGGTGGGAGGGAGACGCAAGAGGGAGGGGATATGGGGATATATGTATACGTATAGCTGATTCATTTTGTTATACAACAGGAACTAACACAGCAGTGTAAAGCAATTATACTCCAATAAAGATGTTTAAAAAAAGTGTTAATTTCTGCTGTACAGCAAAGTGATTCAGTTATACATATATATATTATTTTTCATATTCTTTTCCATTATGGTTTATCACAGGATATTGAATATAGTTCCCTTTCTGTTTATCCATTCTATATATACTAGTTTGCATCTGCTAATCCCCAACTCCCAATTCATCCCTCCCCCACCCCCCTCTCCCTTGGCAACCACCAAGTCTGTTCTCTATGTCTGTGAGTCTGTTTCTGTTTCATAGATAAGTTCATATGTGTCCTATTTTTAGATTCCACATATGATATCAATCATATGGTATTTGTCTTTCTCTTTCTGACTTACTTCACTTAGTATGATAATCTCTAGCTCCATCCATTATAATAGCTTTTATGAGTTATAATTCACATACCATGAAATGCATGCTTTTAGAGTATACAATTCAGTGGCTTTTAGAATATTCAGAGAGTTGCACAATCCCCATCATTATCTAACTTTAGAACATTCATAATCTCCCCCAGAAAAACCCATACCCAATAGCCATCTATTCCTGTTCCTCCCCTCTCCCACCCTGCCCCTGGCAACCACTAATCTACTTTCTGTCTCTATGGATTTGCCTATTCTGGACATTCCATACAAGGTAATCATAAATGTAAAGTTTCTTGTGATTGGCTTCTTTCACTTAGTGTAATGTTTTCAAGATCCATCCAAGTTAAGCATGTACTGGTACTCCATTTTTTCTATTGCTGAATAATCCTCCATTGTATGGACGCAACACATTTTATCTGTTCACAAGTTGCTAGATAGTTGGGTTATTCATATCTAGAAAATTTTTATTGAATGCCAAACATTGTGACTTTTACCTTACGGGGTACTGGATATTTTTATTCCTGTAAAATTTTTGACTTTTATTCTTAGATGCAGTTCAGTTCCTTGGTGACAGTTTGATCTTTATGAATCTTGCATTTAATATTTGTTAGGCGATACCAGTATGGTGTTCAGTCTAGGGCTAATTATTCCCCACCACCAAGGTAAGACCCTTAGGCACTATGTCCAGTGGTTCCATGGATCTCAAGGGCTTCCAGTCTGGCTGATGGGAGCAGGCACTATCCCCAGCCCTGTGTGAAAGCTGAGCACCGGGACATCCAGTCCTTTCAGGTGGTTCTTTCTCTGGCCTCAGATAGTTTCTCCTCATGCACACATCTGCTCAGCTGAAGACCCAGTGGGACCGTCTTCAGATTCTCCATGTAGCTGTCTTCCCGGTGCTCTGTCTTGTGGACTCCAGCCCCCTTCCAGGCCCTCAGCTCTGTCTCCTTGACTCAGGGAGGCTGATGGACTCTCTTCTGGGTTCCCTTCTCTGTGCCATGGCCTGGCAACTCTCACAAAAATGTAGCAACCCTGCAACTGTTGGCCTCACCTCATTTATTTCCCATATTTCAGGGAGATGATCACTCTTCTTCATCATCTGATGTGCAAATGCCTTTGAGGTTGTTTCCTATATTTTGTGTGTTCTTTGGTTGTCTCAGGTAGAATGGTCCATCTGGTTCTTGTTATTCCATCCCAGCAGAAAGAGCCGTGCCGTGACCCATAATGTAAAGGGTTAAATTACTCATTGGTGGCTGTCATAGCTGCTGCATAGACAAATTCAGACCATGTAGATATTGCAGATCCAGCCTTTTAAAAAGGGATGAGAGGTGGCTTTTGTTTCTTATAACAGATAATGTGTTAATAAGCATTCCTTTAAGAGATCCATTTGTGCCATTGGCCTCCTTGAATGTGGGAACATTTATGTCTCCTCTCACAGGTGATCAGCGAGTTTGAAGCCTCTCCTGACTCATTTTCCTACAGAATTCCTAACCTGAGTCGGAATCGGCAGTACAGCGTCTGGGTGGTGGCCGTGACCTCAGCCGGGAGAGGCAACAGCAGTGAAATCATCACAGTGGAGCCAGTAGCTAAAGGTATGCCACCCATTATGGTAAGGGCCTCATTGCCTACGACTATTCGACTGATTTTAAGTCACTATTCTCTCTGAAATAAAGCTTAAAATGCCCTAAAGATCAAGTAAACCAGAATACCATGTGTTATCACATTTCAGCCCAAGAAATAGATTTGCTGCTAGCTGACACTGGGCTTTTGTGCAAATCAGGAAACCATCCTCCTAAGGATGAGTGGCTTTACAACTTCCAGTGCCCTGGGGGAAATTAGGAAAAAGAGCCCCCATTCACCCCTTTGGGTAGGTGAAAATCACTGCATGACAGCTTCCCAAGCAAGTTCTAGTATCTTCAAAATCAGGTCTCATGCTTCTTAAAGAGAAATGTCTATTTTTTGGTCTATGGAATTTAGAACCCTATGAATATAAGAAAATCATTAGTTCTTCTTCTATTGATGGAATGCTGTATACAAAGACCTTAAGTAACAAAAGGAAGTTTGTTTTAGGAAGAAGAAGTTCCACATTGAGATGTTAAATCTGGCCCTAAAAAGCACGTTATAGACACAGAATTATTCCACTTATTCTTCTGGTAATTGCTACCATGTGGTGGCTAGAGTCCCCCTAAATTAGCACTTGTCATGAATAAATGCATTTACCTCACAATTCCAGGCCAATAGGAGTTGTCCCGGGTTTGGGAACACGCCACATTGGCAGTTTATTACTCATAAGGCTTCTAGGTGCCTGGAAGCGAAAATAAACATTCCAAGATTCCAACTTTCCCTCTAAGAATGCTTGATAACATGCTGGTAATGTGACAGCTAAGAAAGAGGCAGAATAAAGTAGTGAAGGAAAAAGAGAGTGGTGTCACATTTTGAACATAAATTCAAATAGAAAACAAGTGTACTGTTGGTAAGGAATATAAATGGTGGATTTTTTTTGTCTCTTATACTCTTTGATCATAATATCCAGCCACCCCCAACATACACTTTGTAACATTTAGAAAACAGTGATTATCAAAGGGCATCAGGACTGTGGGATTTAAAAAAAAGAAATGCAACATAAGATGTAGGGTTAGAGATAGCCTCACCTCTTCTGTACTCTTGTTCATTCAATGTTACATCTCCAGACCCAGCCAGGAATGGCTTGGCTAAGGTAGAGGATATGCCATACTCAGAGGGGGAACAACTGGAAAGTGGCTACTTCCATGGGAATAGGACTTGCCTGGGGATATTAAGTGTCATTTGGTCATTTAATAAATCATTTTGAGTGCTTATTGTATGTCAGGCTAGCAATACAGGGGTGATTTTGTCAAGGGAGCCTGACTGCTGTAGCAAAATATCCTATAAGTGTCAGTGGCTTAACCTGATAACCCAGACCAAAACAGATGTTTCTGGACTAGGTGGCTTTCCTGGGTGGCTCATTCCACATGGTGACTCAGGGATCTTGGCCTCTTCCACCTTGTGATTTGAGACCCTGGGTCCTTTATTTCCAGCCATGTAGATGGAGAAAGAGAGCATGGAGTCTCATAAAGAAGGTTTTCATGGGCCAGATGTGGACGTGTTTACTTCATTTTTACCCATATTCCATTGTATAGAATGAAACATGGGTCGCACCTAATTTCAGAGCAGAGCTTGGAGATGAAGCCAGGCTGAATGTCCAGAATGAAAAGGAAACAGGGTGTGGTGAGCACACAAGAGTCTCTTCTAAGGATTATATACAACACACATGTTACTCTCTGACCTCGTGGAGCTCAAAATTGGGTGGGGACACAGTAAACAAAGCATCACAAATATACATGTATAATTGCAAATGTCAATAAATGCTTCAGAGAACCCGCTTTAGAACAGACCCCACTTAGAGCCTTGGCCACACAAAGATGAGTAAATGCAGTTAGATGACAAGGGAAGAAGATGTGTCCCGGTGTTCGAAGGCCTCCAGCCTAGGAAGAGTTACGTGTGTTGGAGGTCTGGATGCTGGACCCGTGGGTCTGGGGAGGGGGCAGTGGTTTCAGGAGAGCCGGGGGGAAGGCAAAGGCCTGGCCAGGCTGGGCCTTCAAGGCTGTGTTAAGGATTTCAGATTCTACTCTAAGCAAAATGGAAAGACACTGCGGAGTCTTAACCAGAGGAGGGACAGGATCCTATCTTCGTGTGTGCACGTGTATTAAGATTTCTTTTTAGAACAGCTTTAGCTTTATGGAGAAATTGTGATGCTAGTAAATAGAGTCGTGCACTTCACGTCAGCTTTCTCCATCATTGACACCTTCCATCAGTAGGTGTACTCGTGACACTTAATGGCAGGTGTGTTTAAAGACCATGCTGATGTCTGTATCCTGAGTGGATCACAGGGAGGTAAAGGTGGGAAACACAGGAGGCCAGACAGGAGCCCAAGCAGTCAGGCAGTGTGGCCTGGGCTAGCGTGGTAGCAGAGGGGCCTGAAAGATGTGTCCTGGGTGTAGAAGTGATGGGACTCAGTGGACGATATGCGGGGGACAGGGGGAGAGCCAGAACGAACAAGCAAATCTAGCACGCATTGTTGTAGATGGTGGTGTCATGTACTGGAGATGATGACCATGGAGGAAAGGGTTTGTGAGGCAGGTGAAAGGATGTGGGGACATTTTGGACACATTCAGTCTGATGTGACTGAGAGCCATCCACTTGGAAATTCTGTGCCGTTGGGCGAGTCCTGACTCTTCAGAGACATCTGGCAGGAGGCAGAGAAGGAGTGGGGTTGGCACCCAGGCACACCTCACACCTGGGCTGGGGAGAGCCCATCTGGACCACAGAGGGAGGCGGAGAGTCAGGTCCAGGGGTAGCTGGAAGCACACATCGGCTTGCACTGGGGAGGGAGAGGCCCGGGAGCTGGCAAAGAAAAGGGTGTCAGGCCAGACAGGCAGGGGCAGGACCAGGAGGGCAACGTCGGGAATTCGGCAGAGATGCTGCTGCCGGGAGACCAAGGGAAGCAAGGCTGGCAGTGCCCTTTGGTTTGGCCAAGTGGGGGACCTCAGGGACCTTCCAGAGAGCAGCTGCGGTGGGGCTCGAGGACCGGGTGATGGGACAAAGTGGATGGGAGGTGGGGCAGCAGAGGGACTGAGCAGAACATTCTCTAAACATACCTCACCAGGAAGAAGTGACAGGAAGGAGAAGCGGGAGCGAGGGCAGGGTCTCACCCCAGGCAAGGCTCTGGTTTCTGAGGTTTACTGTGTCAGCTGCAGAGCACGCTGTGTGGCCGTGGGAAGACTCCGTGGACAGGGAGGGGTGGGTAGTACAAGATAAGGAGCTGACGGCCGCGGGATGAGCTTTGGAGAAGGAAACACAAGGGGGTTTAGAGATTCAGTGGCGGGAAATGCGAAGCTCCCGGCTGGGGTCTTCCAGTTTCTGTATCAAGTATCAGGCAGTTTGGGGCTGTGAAGGAAGGACCAGAAGTTTGAGAAAAGAAGGGACAACAGGAAGTCATCATTGCAGAGAAGTGGGAGGAATCTTACTAACGAGACTGACACTGGCAGGGAGAGCTGAGAGGCCAGGTGAGGTTGGTGACTGTAAATCTGAGGCGGTTCCCAGGTTCCCGGGTACGTGGATTTCTCCAGAAATGTTCAGCTTCTCATGCTTAAATGGGGTTTACCCAGAGTTAGGGTTGATCTCCGTGGGTCTTCCAGAAAGGGGCTGAGCTAGGGAACACCTCCGGGATGGAGCAGACGTCCGGCTGGCAGCCACCACCCAGGAGCCCCAGACCCTGGCAAACCATAAACCATAACGGCCGAAAGGTCCAAGCTGGACAGACGGGACCACCCACAGGCTGAGGAAGCTGGTGCAGCTTGTTTTGCAGTTGTTGGAAGATCAGGTTTCGGTTTATGGAGAAACCTAAGGCAGGCTGGCAGCAGTGGCAAATCTGGGGGGTCCAAAAATCCAGGGTAAAGTTCAGGAAGAGGGCTGCTGCTTTGGTGGAGGGAGCAGCAGAATGAAACCACGCACCCAGTCTTGGGGGAACGGCATCCTGAGAAGGAGCCCAGGGCCAGGGGTGGGGCGTGGGGGGCAGACCCAGAGCACATGGCCCGTGGCTGGAGCAGCACAGGAGCTGGGAGGGGTGTCCAGGTTGCTAGGGGGCTACGGTTTCTCATCAGAATCACCTGAGGTGCTTGTTCAAAGACAGACCCCCGGAGCCCACCCAAGATCTGCTGAATCACAGAGCCAGAGTAGAAATCTGCATTTTTAGCAAAGATGCTAGGTAATTCTCTTGCCTGCTCCAATTTGCTTAGTCTTAGAGTTTCAAAGTAGGATCCTGTAAATTCCAACTTCCACAAACGGACATTAATTCTAGAAACCGGGTGTGCTGGGCTTGAAGTGGTTTTAGCCAGTGTTTTTCAAAAGCCTAGTGGAAAACCACTCATAAGTCCTGGAATTAATTTTAGGCGTTACAGCCAGCATATTAAAAAACTAAAATGGAATAGAGTCAAATGGGCTAGACTAGCTAGGCTTGAAAAGAAAGTAGAAAATATCAGAATGCCTCATACACAGTAAGCATAAATGTGCAGAACTTTTCTACGTACATGTGTTTTCATTTACACACACATTATATGTGCAGCTTCTGGGATTCAATGTAAAATATATTTCTTACAGGGGAAGGGGCTGTTAGAAAGCTTGAAAGCCCCCCAACTCTAGCTGGGTTTCCCTAATCACCTCCATTTTGCTGCAAGGATATTCCTCATCATAAAAGGACGGTCTGAAGGGTTTGAAAGGGAAAATGCCAAACTTCCAATGTCAGAAATCCGATGCTACCTGCCCGGGATATTTTTGTTACAGTGATAGAAAATCAGAAAGGTCAGTAAGTGATAAAACGGGCTCTGCCCTGGAATACTCCATTTCCAGGTGAAGGGTGCCATCCGTGAGCCACCTCTGAAGACCCTTCTCTAAGGAGGAAGAGCTGCAGATTCCCCTGCATGCAGGGAACGTTGCTTCAGACACATGGGTGGCTTTTGCTATAATACTTGCTGCACAAAATAGGCCCAGCTTCTGAGCCCACTGGCACTTCCTCTCGCTCCGCTCTTGCCTCCATTGCTTAGAACAACAAAAGTCAGAATTGTCTGGCAGACCTCAGTGATGAAAACTTTGTGCCCTAGACCAGGATGACTTCTCATGAGTTGGCTCTAGGAGCTCCACCTTTCCTGGCATTCCAGCACTCTCCTGAGAAGTCTGTTCCCCACATCTGCTGGCCAATCTCAACCCTCAAGCCCAAAATGGTGCAGGGGTGCCAACACTGGTCCCATCTTTATGGGTCCATCATCAGATTGGAGCTGCCTTCCACCGATGGGCTCCTTGTCTGTGCATCCAGATGGGCTCAGCTTTTAGAGAGTGGCCCAGAAAGCAGTGCCCTAGTGAAAGGCAAAGCCCAGGCAGATCATTCAACCTCTGGAGGACTCGTATCTTGGTGCCTCTGTCAGATTCTGTGTCTCACCCAAGAAAGTGGCACTAGGAGCCTGTCAGTACAGGGCCCCTCTGGTCTCCAAGGAGGCCCCTGCTGACATGGGGCTGCCCTGGGCTTTTTCCTCTCCACTTCCTGGGCCCTGCAGCCACTTTAGGATTGTACCAGGGCCCATGTCCCCAGGAGATGCCCCTGTTCCAGCATCTGAATCACTGCCCCAAGCAAACAGTGGTTCTTCAAGAGAGGCCAGTCCGGAAATGTTTATTTTCCTTAACGTTTGAGCTGAAGATCAAGCTGATATAATGAAGTCGGGAAAGTACCACAAAATTGATAAATAGAAGTCGTTACAGTTTTACTTCTTCCCGTCTTGGGACTTTATGTTTTGTTTTGTCTATTCTCTCAGATATTACAAGTATGTTTTAATGTGCAGTTTTGGGTGTTGAGAGAAATTGCTTAATAAGTGCTTTGAAAAATAACTGGGCTCATAGAAAGCACATCTTGGAGCTGCTGGGCTTATGAAGCCCCAAGTATTTAATTTGGGGTCCTTGTGGTTTAGTCAATACAAGGGAATAAAATGCTACAATAGGGGTTTTCGGCAGTTTGTATGTTCATACAGTGAACATCCCTTAGACGCACTCTGATACCAAGAATAGTGTTGACAGGTGTGACATTGATTGGCAGAGATACACTCTCCTTTCTGGGGTGTTGCTGGCTTGGGGAGGGTCACTTTGGCCTCTGTGTAGATGACTCTGTGTAGTTACTGGGCTTCTGCTCTGTTTGGTGGTTCAGCTCCCGCACGAATCCTGACCTTCAGTGGCACGGTGACTACTCCATGGATGAAAGACATCGCCTTGCCTTGTAAAGCTGTTGGGGACCCTTCTCCTGCGGTAAAGTGGATGAAAGACAGGTAACCAGTAACCCAATGTATGCCCTCAGTACATCAGACACACCATGCTGAGTCTGGTGGTCTAATTTTGTATATTTACACTCTTGAAAGCTCCAGGAAAACTACCCACTCTTCTGCGATAGAGAGGAAGTTGGTTGAGGGCGGTGGTGGAAGAATCTCAGCTTTAACACTAAAAGGATCTGATCTATCTTGTCAATTCTCTAAAAATTCTGAGCTTTACATTCATAAGAAAATGCTTCCGAGGAGAATAGTCTAGCCAGCCCAGTAATCTCCTTGGAAGTTTCCTGTACCTTATCACGAAAATCTCCTGTATATCTGAGATGAACGTACCCAAAGTGACTGGAGAATTAGCACTTATCTCTTCTCCTTCCAAGATAATGGACCAACTAACACTAACTCAAATGCTCTGAGAAATAACTTTAAGAAATGGAATGCATTAAGACTTAGCTAATATAAAATCTGGTTTTCCGTGCTCAGTAGGAATTATTACAACAACAGCAGATGAGATGGAAGGGAGGAAATGGGTGAGATGGATTCTGTTCATGTAACTTTTTTAAGTAACTTTATTCAGAGACAGAAATTAAGATGTAAATAAAGGGCTGGAAATTCACTGATGAGCCTAGAGATTTGGTATAAAATGGATTCGGAAGAGTTCCTATTTTCAAACAGAGACACAAACTATTGAAATGATGGTCTTGGCCCAGTGACCACTTTCTCATCTCTTTTAAGTCAGTAAATATGAAGGAAATAAGTAAGCTCCCAAGGTCCAGTGGCATTCCACCGGATGTGGGGATGACCACAGATGACTGGACAGTTGTCACCATGGCTGAGGCCAAGATGTCGCCAAGGGAACTCTCTTTATACTAGAGTCAGCTCATCACCCTCTTGGCATACCACAGTTCATTTCTTATGCCAAAATCATTAACAACTGTAACTTTCAGTGAATCTACAAGCGACCCCAAAATTTAGTTGTCCCTGTCTGATCTGGTCAAAATGACACATCTGCCCACAGAAGCAATTCCCTTTGGGATACGACAAGCATTGACCTATGCAGCCAGAAGCCAGGACTTCACACAGACCTCGCTTCAACACAGCACTTTTTACAAAGGACAAAACTCAGCTATGTGACTGTTTCTGTCATATAATCATCGTTTAGTTCTTCCTTAATATAACCTTCCAGATGGGTTGTTTGCTTCAGAAAGAG